CGGGGGGAGGGGGGGGTGGGCCGCACCCACCCGCACGCAGGCAGTGCAGGGTCCCCACGTCCCTGTCCTTTCTGCCGCCACAGGCCCAGCGGTACATCACCCAGCTGAAGGGCCAGGTGAACTCGCTGGAGGCCGAGCTGGAGGAGCAGCGGAAGCAGAAGCAGAAGGCGCTGGTGGACAATGAGCAGCTCCGCCACGAGCTGGCCCAGCTGCGGGCCGCCCAGCAGGAGGGCGAGCGGAAGCAGGGCCTGCGGGAGGCGGAGGCCGAGAGTGCGTTTGGGGGACGGCGGGGGGGCCGGGCCCGGCAGGAGGGCCCGGTCCCCTGGTGGGGTGCCCCACTGTGCTTGGGGGTCACGGCCCCACCTCTCACCCACAGAGAAGGCCAGTGCCACGGAGGCTCGCTACAGCAAGCTGAAGGAGCAGCACAGCAAGCTCGTGGCCACGCACGCCGAGCTGCTCAGGAAGGTCGGGCCTCGCCCCAGGGGGCAGCGCTGGTGGGCGGGGCCCCCTCAGCAGCAGTGCCTGACTGCGCCCTCGTCTGCCTATGCAGAACGCAGACACGGCCAGGCAGCTGACGGCCAAGCAGCAGAGCCAGGAGGAGGTGTCGCGGGTGAAGGAGCAGCTGGCCTTCCAGATGGAGCAGGCCAAACGGGAGTCGGAGATGAAGGTGCGTCCCCTGTGTGCACAGGGCCCCGGCCCCAGAGTCCCTTGGCCCCACCGTGCCCCCGGCCCCATCGTTCCTGTGACACACGGTCCCCATGACACACGGTCCCCGTGACACACCGTCCCCATGACATACTGTCCCCATGACACTGTCCATCCTGCCCCAGCTGGAAGAGCAGAGCGACCAGCTAGACAAGCTCAGGAGGGAGCTGGAGGCCAAGGCTGGAGAGCTGGTGCGCGTGCGGGAGGCCCTGAGCCACACGGAGCAGGTGGGTGTGGGGGCACCTGGCATCGGACGGGACAGGAGTTAGGGTCCTCTTTCCCAGGAACTGGGCCATGCCTAGATGCCACTGGGTTGGTTCAGGGGTTCCTGGGGGGCTGCTCTGACCCAGTACGCAGGGGACATGCAGGAAATGGGAAGCTCAGGGTCTAAGGGGGTTGGTGAAGACGGGCCCTAAGGGGGAATGAGGGGCAGGCGGGCCCCTGGACGCCCTGCTCACGCCCATGGCTTCACAGAGCGGCTCAGAGCTGAGCTCGAGGCTGGACTCGCTCAGAGCAGAGAAGGACGCACTGAGCAGCACCGTGCGGCAGCGGGAGGCCGACCTGCAGGCGGCCCGGAGCCTGGTGCGGGAGAAGGAGGCGGCGCTGAGCCAGGAGCAGCAGCGCAGCTCCCGGGAGAGGGACGCGCTGCAGGGGCGGCTGGCGGACAAGGTAGTGCCCCTGTCCCCCTGCCCCATGCGACAGCTGGGCTGCAGACAGTCCGTTCAGACTGCACGAGCCCATGGGTCTTAGTGTGTTCACAGGGCCGTGCGTCCATTTTGTAGTTCCAGAACATTCTCACCACTCTGAAGACAAACCCCCGCCCCCATGAACAGTCTGTCTGTGCCCCCCTCCCCCAGCCCCTGCGGCCTCTGACCCCCGTCCCGTCTCTGTGGGTGTCCCTGCTTTGGACGGTTCATAGACGGGACCGTGTGTGTGGCTGGCCTCTTCCCCTCGGCGGGTGTCGTCCAGGTCCGCCCCTGTGGCCGAGCTCCGGGCCCCCACGTGTCCCCAGCGCTCCAGGCCTCCGGGCCGCCTTTTGCTTGTCCTCGGTTGATGAGCATTTGGGTGGTTCCACTTTCCGTGCACATCGTGTGTGGACGTGATTTTGTTTCCCTTGGATGTTTAGTTCCGTTTCACTTTCGGAGGAGCGGCCGAGGCATTTTCCAAAGCAGCTGCTCGGTTTTTCCTTCCCCGCAATGGAGGGGGTTCCAGTTTCCCCACCCCCTCACCAACGCTTCTTGCTGGCTGGCTGTCTTAGCCATCCTGGTGGGGGATGCTCATCGTGGTTGTTATGCACCCATCCCTGATGGCTGATGACCTTGAGCATCCTACGTGTCCATCCATCGTTTTTTGTGTATCTTGGGAGAAATGCCTGTTCAGATCCTCTGGCTACCTTTTATTTTAATGGGGTTTTATCTCTTTGTTCAGCTGTCTGCTCTACTCCTGAAGGTGCCACAATCCCTGGGGTGGAGCGGGCCTGTCCTTCGACCTCCGACCCAGCGAGGGCCCCAGCTGGGTCCAGACTGGCGCCAAGGGGCTGCCCCGGGCGGGGTCCCTAAACCGCTCCTCCCCTCTCAGGAGTCTCAGGAGCAGGGGCTGCGGCAGAGGCTCCTGGACGAGCAGTTCGCCGTGCTCCGGCGCACCGCGGCCGAGGCTGAGCGCATCCTGCAGGACGCCGTGGGCAAGCTGGACGACCCCCTGCACCTGCGCTGCACCAGCTCCCCAGGTAGGGCTGCCCTCGCCGGTGCTCAGGCCACCTCCTTCCTGCCCTGCCTGGCAGGGTGGTGCTCACCCCGCCCTGGGGAAGCCAGACTCCACCCCTCACCCCTTCCCCCTGTGCTTGCAGACTACCTGGTGAGCAGGGCCCAGGCGGCCCTGGACGCTGTGAGTGCCTTGGAAAAGGGCCATGCCCAGTACCTGACCTCCAGGTCAGGTGAGTGCAGGGGGACAGGACTGGGCAGGCAGAGGCCACTGGTGGTTGAGTGCTGGTTCCATTGGCTGTGACTTTCTCCTGCCTTGTGCTCCCCCATGCCCACCTGAGTCCCACACCTGGGTTTGATTCCTGCTCGGCTGCTTTCTAGCTTCATGACCTTGGCCTAGCGCCTTCTCCCCTGAGCCGTCCTCCCCTCATCCGTGAACGGGGCCCTGGGTGCCTGCCTCGGGCTTGCTGGGCACAGGAAATGCTGCCTGCCGAAAGGCACCGACCGGGACTCACCCCGTGGTGGCAGCGTCAGAGTCCCCTTGCTCTCCTCTCTCCCAGACGCCTCTGCCCTGGTGGCAGCCCTGACACACTTCTCCCATCTGGCTGCGGACACCATCGTCAACGGTGGTGCCACCTCCCACCTGGCCCCCACTGACCCTGCTGACCGTAAGTGGGCCCCGGGCTGGTGTCACGGGGTGCTCGTGGTGGACCAGGAAAAGGTGGGGGCCTGCAGACAGGCCCTGGCCTCAAACCCAGGGCTGGGGCGCGTGTCAGGGCTTCCTCCAGGCTCTCAGGCGCTGGCTCCCACGGCCCTCTCCCCGCAGGCCTGGTCAACGCCTGCAGGGAGTGTGGGGCGCAGGCACTGGAGCTCATGGGGCGACTGCAGGATCCACAGGCTCTGCTGCAGGCCCAGCCCGGCCTGGTGCGGCCCCCACTGCAGGGCATCCTTCAGCTGGGCCAGGTGAGCTGTGCAGCTGTGGCACCAACCGTGGGCCAGTCTCTGCTGCGGGACGTCTGTGGGATATGGGGCGGGACAGGGCACCCACCCCCAGGCCCCAGAGCCCTGCTGCCCCAGCCTCTTTCCCAGGCTCCCTGCAGGGTCGTTGGGGGTCATGTGTACCCCGTCTGACTGCTGGATGCCTTCCTCTCCCAGGAACTGAAGCCCAAGAGTCTGGATGTGCGTCAGGAGGAGCTCGGCGCCATGGTGGACAAGGAGATGGCAGCCACGTCTGCAGCCATCGAGGACGCTGTACGGAGGATCGAGGTGAGGACAGCACGGGGGACCCTCCAGCTCCTGAAGGAGCCCTGGGGGCTGGGCAGGCTGAGTGCAGGTTGTCCCCACCTCAGCACTCGGCCTCCATGCAAAGGACAGACGAGGCCTCCCCTCCCTGGCTCAGTAGCTGTCCCTAGAGGTCTGGCATCCCCCTTCCTCTCACGCCGGCACCCCCCAGCCCGCTCACAGCTCTGTCCCTGCTGCAGGACATGATGAACCAGGCCCGCCACGCCAGCTCCGGGGTGAAACTGGAGGTGAACGAGAGGTGAGCGCACTTCTGCCCCCAGGACGAGGCGGGTTCCCCCGGCCTCGCAGGTGCAGGGCTTCTGCCCTCCTGGCCGCTCAGCTGTACAGGAAGGATGGGGAGCGCAGTGCATCTGCCTTTTGGGGCCACATTGCCAAACACCCAGTGTCAGGCCCCATGGTTGTCCACACAGAGGCCAGGCCGCTCCCTGACCATCCCTGTGGCTTCCGGGGCCACACTGCACACTCCTCTCTTTCCCCTGCTCCCTCCCACAGGATCCTCAACTCCTGCACAGACCTGATGAAGGTGAGCGGCCAGCTGGGGCCCCAGAGGCGGGCGGGCTCTGCAGCTGGGATGGCCACCCCAACAGTGACGTATGTCTCGGTCTTGGCAGGCCATTCGGCTCCTGGTGACAACATCCACCAGCCTGCAGAAGGAGATCGTGGAGAGTGGCAGGGTGAGCTGGGCCTCCAGGTGGGGTCCTTCCCTGTCGGGCAGGCCACACAGCTGGGCCAGCAGCAAGGATCAGTTCCTGGAGGGGACATGACTGCAGGGTCCTCGTCATCCCAGACCGCTCCACCCTGTGGCTTAAGCTGGACGTGAGACACCTGAAGTGCCAGTGATGAGAGACCCCCCCAGTGCACACCGTGTGCCTGGGAATCAGGCAGAGGGGAGAAGGGGCCCCGAGAGCATCCCTTGCTGCAGGTGATGTCATTGACTGTCCGGCCCTGCCCTTTCCTCTTGTCACCACTAGGGGGCAGCCACGCAGAAGGAATTTTACGCCAAGAACTCACGCTGGACAGAAGGCCTCATCTCTGCCTCCAAGGCTGTGGGCTGGGGAGCCACGCAGCTGGTGTATGTCACCCCAGGTGGAGGGGCAGTAGGGAGTGTGATGCTCGGGGTCTGGGGAGGGAGTGCGGGGATGGCCCAGCTCTCCATGGGGTTAGAGACCCAGGCCCTGCCCAACTCTGTCCCCAGGGAGTCGGCTGACAAGGTGGTGCTTCACACAGGCAAGTACGAGGAGCTTATTGTCTGCTCCCACGAGATCGCAGCCAGCACGGCCCAGCTGGTGGCAGCCTCCAAGGTGAGGCCCCGGGATCGGCTCGGCTCGCCTGTGGCTCCTCAGCTCCTGGCTGTGGTGGACACGCTGCGTGTGGCTGGGGGACCAAGGGATGGGGGCGATCCCGGCCCGCCCTGACGCTCCCCCACGCTCCCCCAGGTGAAGGCCGACAAGCACAGCCCCAACCTGAGCCGCCTGCAGGAGTGTTCCCGCACGGTCAACGAGATGGCTGCCAACGTGGTGGCCTCCACGAAGTCCGGCCAGGAGCAGATCGAAGAAAGAGGTGAGTGCCGGGGCCCTGGTCGTGGCTGGGGGGTGGGGCAGGCGCCCAGACACTTACCCCCTCTCTGGCTACAGACACCATGGACTTCTCCGGCCTGTCCCTCATTAAGCTGAAGAAGCAGGAAATGGAGACCCAGGTAGGTGCCCACACCCGCAACACTGCTCCCTGGCCCCCTCAGTGCACGGTGGCCTCTGTGTCTGTCCCTCCTGGGGCTGAGCTCCAAGGGTGGGAGGGCTCCCTGGGGAGAGGCCCCGGGCCTGCTGAGTGGTGTGTGGGGCTGCAGGTCCGAGTCCTGGAGCTGGAGAAGACCCTGGAGGCGGAGCGTGTGCGTCTCGGGGAGCTGCGGAAGCAGCACTATGTGCTGGCTGGGGTGGTGGGGACGCCCGGCCAGGAGGAGCCTGCCCAGCCCAGCGCTGTCCTCCGAAGCGGGACCTCCAAGAAGCCACCTCTGGCCCAGAAGCCCAGCCTGGCCCCTAAGCAGGACCACCAGGTAGGACCATCAGGGGCCAGGCATGGTGCTAGGATGGGGGCCCAGGGAGCTCGGCCCAGTCTCTCTCCCAGGTCTGGGGCACAGGGCCTTGGGGAGGTCAGAGCTTACTGAACGGCAGGAGCGCACGTGCCGTCCTAGCAGCGCAGGGGGAGGCTCGGCCGGCTCCAGCTCCAGGGGAAGGTGCAGGGGGCCTGGCTGGGCTGTCATGCACTCCTGGTCATGTGTGCTGAGCCCCTCACCTTTGACCCCCTACAGCTGGACAAAAAGGATGGTGTCTGCCCGACTCAGCTCGTGAACTCCTAGGCTCTGCAGGGTCCAGCGGGAGGCTGGTTGGCAGGACTGGGTCTCACGTGGCTACCTTGACTTGGCCGAGGCTCCGAGGGGCACTGTCCCCAGCAGAAGGCATCAGCCCCCATGCCAGGTGCCCAGGCCCCTGCCCCATGGCTTGGATCAGTGTCCCCGAGGCCTGGCCTTGCTAAGCCCACGGGACCTGGACTGACGGGGCAGTTCTGGATGTGTTTATCTGCAAAAGGAACTTCCGAGAGCAGCCAGGATCCAGCGGCCTGCGCCACAATTCAGAAAATACACGGCACATTTGTAATGTTCCACGTCAGAGCTTTTCTTTGTGAGTTTGTATTTGGCACACAGGGAAGCAGGGCCATGGGGGTGTTTGGCCAGGGCCTCCCCTGCCGTTTGGACGTGGGGATCTGAGGTGAGACGAACAGAGCTGTCGGGGACATGCGTGAATTGGCCGCTGGGTGTGTGGTCTTCGGGGGCACTGGTGCCCTGGCCCCAGGACCTGGTGTGGCTTTAGGCAAAGCAAGATGTTCTAGGGTGGGCTGGAGTGTTCTCGTTCTCCTGGGGCCTTGCTCTGTGGCACTGGTGATGGGCACACTGAGGAGGACACGGCCCTTGTCTGGGGGGAGGCGGGCGGGGCGGACGCTGTGGCCGAGGGCCCGGCACCTGCCAAGCACAGGTGCTGCCTTCGCTCCAGGAGTCTGTTCCAGGTGAAGTCAGCGGTTGACTGCCCACTTCCTGTTTTCCATACCTGTCTGGCTGCCCTTGACCTGGGGGTCCAGCTCTGGCTGCTGCCCCCTCCCTCCCCCTCCTGTCTTGGGGTGATTCTAGCTCAGCCAGAAAGAGCCCAGGGCCCAGCTTGGCCCGCCTTGTCTCATCTGGAGGACATGAAAGAACCTGCACTCCTGCCCACCCCCCACCCCCGGGAGTGGCTGCGGTCGTCGGGGGCACCGACCGGGTGGGCCAGCTCTGCTGCTTAGAGTGTAGTGTTTTCTCCTGTTGAAGACTTGGACTGGCAATAAAATGTGCTTTGACTGTTACCGTGGCCCAAAGGGCTACACTTGGCTGGTCATTTCTCCGGGGCCAGGACGGGTTGGGACCCACTTGGTTTCTGCAGGTGACAAGAGCACGTGGAGCCTTGGCAAACCTTGCTAGTGCCACTTCTGGTTCTGCCAAGTGTCATCCAGGCGCGTTTCTCTGGGAGGTTTGTGACAAAGCCCTGGGATGTCTGTGTGGTGAGTTATGGCCTAGGGCTGTTCTCTGCTGCCCCAAGACCACCCCAAAGTCCTCAGTCCCAGGCCCCCACAGTTCTGACCCACCCCTTCTTGGGAAGGAATGACCATTGACTCGAGAATCCTGTTTCTGAGCTTGTTGGCAGTGACCCCACCTCCTGGCTGGTCTGGACTTCACTCTCCGGGCCCCGCGGAGTCATGTTCATTAGAACACCTGACAGGTGTCCCAGTCCGAGAGCACAGCTGGCGTGCACTCGCCCACTTCCTCCAGGAGCGCCACCCCCGCCCAGGTCAGCAGCATGTGGGACTCCCACTGTGTGGCCTAGGCTCCCGGGAGGAGGAAGTGGGGCTGCCTCCCCGCAGCTGGCTGAGGTACAGGGGGTCACACCGGTCTCTGAGTGGGAGGGTGCTTAGAGGGAGCCCCGTCTGTCCCGATTAGTAGGGAATTCGCTTCAGGAAACATTGTAAAGTGTGTGTGTCTCCAGCACACACGCAGCAGTGGACAGCGGTGTGCGTTGGCCACCCTGAGCTTCATCTGACCTAACGTCCTCAGTGGGCAAACCTTTGAGACCTCAAATGAGAAGCCTGGGGTCAGGTACTGTTCCTCCCTGGATTGTCTCGTGAGCAAAGGGGCGCAGAGGGGACCAGACAAGTTCCCTCCATGGGGTCAGACTACAGGCCTGGCTGTGAGCTTCCTAATAGCCACTGGGAAAACGAACTGTCAGATGCGTCTCTTTTTTAAAAATAAGCGAGCTGATTTCTCAGGAATAGCTGCCTTATCGTAGGAAAACTGCGGCACTGTCTCCCACCCACGCTCACAGCACAGGGACGTGCAGGGAGCGGCAGCCCATTTAGCGTGACGGGAGCTTGCTCAGGGCTGCTCCGTGCTCCTTGTGTTCCCAAGTGAGTAAAGCCCCTCCTGGCATCATGGCCCCAAGGCCCAGCTCACAGGGTGGGTAGTGCGGGTCCCACGGCGAGGGGCACTAGACACTTCCTAGCCTGAGGGGTCCCCCGACACACCTGTGGGCAAGTCCCCAGAGCGACCACCACTGAATTCTATCGTTTGAAACAAGCAGAGAATGGAGTTTCCATCAGCTGTGCGGCATGGGGCGGTGACCTTGTGGACAGAAGCCAGGGAGGGACTGAGGCCGATGAGGCAGCTTCGACCCGACACGTGAGGAGCGAGCTTCTTTGTGCCCCCGCCTGATGTTTGAGACAGACCACAGCAGGACAGAAGGCTCTGCTCTGAGGGACAGGGACCCTGGACGAGGCAGGCTCTTCGGCCCTCTTGGGTGGCTTTTATCAATGGACACCAGTCAGCTTCACTGATACTCCAGAACCGAACATCACCAATGTCCCCAGATAAATGAAAGACGAGACTGTTAATAATTCTATCTATTGAAAAGGGTCCTACAACTTTACAACCACAGCTCAGACGTAACCCGGGAGAGATGGTGAGGCCACCTGGGAGCCTGTTCACTCAGCGCTGAGCTCACACGTTTGGCTGCGGCCCACGTGGGTGACAGAGGTATTGGCGTGGGTGGCACTGTTCCCAAGATTCATAGGCAGGCCCACCTGATTGGCGTGGCAGTAAATCATCCTATACAGCTTTGTGTTCTTTAAAAATGATCATGACAGTCGAATTCAAGTCCAGGAGAAGTGTATGGACTGAGTACAAAGGTTGAGCCCTGCCCTGATTCCGTCACCATGGCAACGGGCCAGGTGCTCCACAATCAAGCACACGGGCCTTGTTAACAGGTGGTGGTGACACCCTCAGGACTTTAGTACTCACGGCACCTGTAGATAAGAACCCAGAGGGCAGAAAGAACATCCTGGTTTGCTGGTCCCCTCTAGTCCCGTGGGGCGAGCGCCCTCCAACCTAGCTGAACCACTACTGGAGTCCCTGTCCCACCGCCCGGACCCCAAGGCCCAGCCAGAGGCAGAGCATCAGCTAAGAGGGGCCCGGTTTGCGGCGGGCGGGCTGTTCTCGCACCTGCAACACAAGGAGCACAGACAAGCCCGTCCGGGACATGGGACAGACGCTGGGGCAGCAGCAGCTGGTGGTGGCCGTCCCATGGCCTGGGGGCCTGCAGGGGAGCCCTGGCCGGCACCGGACGAGGCTAAGGCACACACGGCCTGCAGGTTGCAGGTGGGTCTGTGCACCACTGGTGCGTTCACGTCGGCTGCGTTTCGATCCACTCAAAATGTATGTGCGTTTATAAAGGGTCCCTGAATGTGCTTAGGTCAAAAAGTTCTGTTCCCCAATATAAAACAGGAAAATTACGTAGTAAAAATATCAGGGTATTTCTTCATAGAAACCCTCGAGGCTGCTGGGGCAAGAAACAGGAAGGCCAGGCTGTGGTCGCTGTGCAAAGTCCAGCTCGCACCGCCCGCGGGCCCGGTCCCCGGGAGTGGCAGTGGGCCCAGTGCAAACCCTGCGTGTGGCTTCGAAGGACCCAGGTCTGGGGGAGGGGCAAGGGACTATGGGACTAGGTAAGCACCTTCGGGCTGGCCCACCGGCGACCCTTACCAGGGGCTGTGGTGGACAGCGGGCAGGACACACAACTGTCTTGAAAGAAACGAGCCATGCTCATTAAATACGGCTGAGGGGGGACTGCGCTCTGACTGAGGATGGGCGAGGCTTTCCCCCCGAACTCATGCGTCACCAACATGACAAGACAGAAACCACACGGAGGATGCACGCCGGCACGGGGTGCCAGGGCCCTGCGCCTACTCGCTGCTGACAGCGCGAGCAGTGGGCACGCCTGGGCCTCGCGGTGTCCCGCGCCCACGTGAGCCCGGCTGGTGGCAGGCAGACGGAGTGTCCCAGCACGGACGAGGGTGGCTCACTGCAGGATGAAGCCGGGCTGGTGAGGCAGCCGCGGCGGGGGCCTCTGGGGCAGGGCTGGCGGGTACGGCGACACCAACTGCGCGGAGAAGCCCTGCTGGGGGGAGAGGCCCGCGTGGGGCGGCAGCGGAGGGCACGGTGGTCGCGGGTACGGGGAGGTGAACGGCGTGGCTAAGCGTCCTGCAGGCACTGGAGGCGGGATGCGCCGAGGCGCGACCGAGGGCGGCCCACTGGCCTCTGGGGCGGGGTAGGGCAGCGGGGCGGCGGGCAGCGGCTCGGCCACCCTGGGCGGCAGCGGGCCTGGGGCCTGCGGGAGTCTCTGCCCCTTCAGCACCATCTCCTGCAGCTTCTCGATCTTGACCCTTCGCATGTGGGCCAGTGTCCGCTGGCTCTGATACACGTCGATGAAGGAGTCTAACGGAAGCTGCCCCTCGAGAAACTTCTCCGCCATGTTCTGAAACAAGCAGGTTACGGGACAGGTCGGCCGGGGAAAGAAGCCCCGTTCACGGCCAGCACGGCGAGGCCTCAGCCAGCTTCCTTCCGTCTCCCGTCCCCTCTCCGCCCGCCACCGGCGCCACACCGCCGACCCCGGCCCCGGCTGA